TATACATATACATGTAGATATATATATTTATATATACATACACACGTATACACACATAATATACATAATAGACATGCATACATCCCCTTATACTCCCTACATAGTTATACTTTAGCATTCCGCAATATCCTATTCCAACTACTCAGGCCCTTGTAGTTTAGGAGCCGGGATGCTGCAGCATCCCAATGCATCTTGCCGCACACCTCGATGCCGTCTTTGATGCACCTTGCTGTCTAGGAGTGCAAAGCCTTCTCTCTGTGCGGGGATGCACCGATTGGGCGTGGGTGAGAGGGAGAGAGAGAGTTCATGCATCAAAATTCGTCCGCGCAGCACGACTAAGGATGCCTAGGAATATTGAATACAGTGCCCTGGCTAGGTTTGAGTGCAGCCCGTGTTCCCGTCGGGTTCCCACCCCAGTGCGGTGCGCATTCTGGACTATGCCTCGAAAAAGCTTGTAAAACCTTTTATGAAACCCTAATACCCAAACCCTAAACCCTAACATCCCGCCCTTCTAGACTAAGCTCCGGGCGGATGCTCCCGCCAACTGTAGACCTCTTGGATGCTGGGTGCAGACTCCTCGGAAGTGCGAGGGGTCACGTGATTTTGTTCTGTGAGACTGAAATCTTTAGAGGGCTTCCATGGATTTTCGACGGTTTACGAGAAACCCTAAACCCTAAACCCTAAACCCTAAACTTCGACGGTTTAAGAGAAGGGTTTGTAGGGTGTGCAAGGCAGGCTTCATAGGAATAGGGCCTGATTAGAAACGTTTTCTGTTCGGAGGGGGCCCGATTTTGTTCAGTATCCTGCCTTAACCTACAAAACCTACTTTTTGTAGGGCCCCGATAAATTCCATGTTAAAGGGTTTATAATAAGAACCTACAAAATAGTTGGGTTTGGTAGTTTAAGGTATCATGGGGCTCGCTCCTGACATTCTGAGCAAGCTTTAAGCATTGCGTGCGACGTAAAGTTCAGGACTTTGGGGCTTTAGGGTGTTGGACTTGTAAAATGAGAACCACCATGAGAATGTACTGCTGGTCACAAGAAAGGAAGCAGTTACATGATGAATATAGCCGCCTATTGAGTTAGAATAGGGTTTTGGTGTATATTATAAGACTACAGTTATAATCAGGAACCCCCCCAAAGTAGTGTTGGTAATCGTTTGAGCCCCTACATTTCAGTGCTGTTCGCATCCTTACGGCCTTTCAAGGCCCCGACCCCGAAGCAAATCGAATGCGCAACTTCTCCTGACAGGGGCGGGGCTTCTGGGGGGGTGGCGGGGTTTGGGTGGGGCAATCTGGGTTGAGGGCTGAGGGTTAGGAGTTTTAGATTAATTTTGGGGTTTAGGGTTTAGGGTTTAGGGGGTCAACTTCGAAGATCCGTTCCAAGCCAACTGGAGATGGAGGCCTTTGGAGAGGGGTCTCCGCAACTACGTGCCCAAGGACCATCTCATGCACGCACCGTGCCAACCATAATATGCAGCTTACCGCAGGTAAGGCCCCGGAAGGTTGAGATCAGAAGGGATTCGTTCAAATATCAGTTAGAAAAGCCGATGTCGGCTTGACATGTTCTCGACCGTTTGGGGCCTACGAGCAGGGTTTGGGTTTTGGGTTTTGGGGCTATTTGGAGCTTCAGGGCTTCGGGGCTTTGGTGATGGGCCCCTCTGCCCAAATCCGAAACCCCCAGCCCTAAGCAAAACCCATGCCGCCCATGCCCCCAACTGGTCGAAATCCGTGAGCTGAAAGCCTCACTGCCCGAAGTCCCACGTTCTTCAAGCCTTCCTTGAAGCACCCGGAACGGAACCCTACTCCCGGACCTCCCCTGGTGAACCTGTGAACCTGCAAGGCTCTCCAAAAAGCTATATCAACAAAGGGTTTAGGGTTTAGGGCGGTCATGATCTACTGCAGTGCCTAAATCATGGGCCTGAATAGTAAATAGTCATGACAGTCAAGATCACAATGAACTCAAACACTGCTGGCTGTAATTGTAAGGAACGGAAATCAAAGCACTGGAACCTGAACGCCCCCAAATCCTGAACCCCATATGAAAGGCTCTAAACAATATATAAAACACCCTAAACCCTAACCCTAAACCTTAAACCGCCCACAACCGCCCACCTCGTATTGAGTCCGGAAGCTGAGCTGATGCCTTCGTCAGTGCCTCGCACACCTTCGTTGCAGGATTTCGGGGGTCGAAGGCTACATGGCTTGCTGTAATTTGTGGTTTCAGGTGAGGGATTTCAGGGGTTGAGGGTCTAGGTGGGTTGACTGCTGAGGGTTTGGAGTTCACTACTTCGGCGCCCTTGAGATCAAGTGTAGAGACTCCCTGCAATTCAACTTCAAATTTGTGGTGATCACTGCAAACCAACCTTTACAGCTTACGATATGATCGTCTCTGGTCCAGCCGTGCTTGCTTAGGGACTTCGAAAGGAAATGGAAAGTGCCAATACAGCTTTAGGAATGAGGCAGAGAATGTCCGGGCAGTGTCTCTAGACTGCAACTTGCGCTAGGGTGTTAGGAGTTAGGATTAGGGGGACCCTTGGGGATATAGACCCTCTCAATAAGGTCCCTTTTAAGAAGTAGGGTTAAGAAGGGTCCCCTTTAAGGGTGTCTCCCTAATACCGATGGTGACAGGTTCGGTGCGAATTCAACTCCGCACCCTTTCGGTAGCCCTTTGCTGCAAGCCTCCAGCCTTCCACACTCTGGAGGCATGTTAACCGTGCCGGGCACCTGCTCATCCATGATCTTTTTCACCGCGCCTGCAAGAGCAGTGAAACACTGGTTGCATATAGGGGCCTTAATAATTAGACTAAGGCTTGAAACATAAATCTGATAAGGAACCGTAAGGAATAATATTGGTAATTAATTATTTAGGCTTTTTACATGATAAAGTTCGGGAGTTCGAGGCTTTGAATGGAGGCTCATAAGCACGATTTGGGGTGCGAGCTCGAGGTCTTGCTGCACTGGCGTGGCATCGGGGTATTCGGAGGTGGATATAGCTGTCGCTGCTACGTCGAAGGTGATGTGGCTGGGCAAGCCACTGCCTCAAGGTGCACAGAGCGTATCGCGATAGCTCAATTTAGGCAGCTCGGTGTCTTCTTGCTGAAGCTCGCCGGCCCGCCTCGTCCCTCCGCATGCTTCGGGGGTGATACGTACACGCTCGTGCCACGTGGGTGACTGAATTTCGTGAGTTCTGGGTCTAGGGTCTAGTGCCTTTAGTGGTACCTCCTCAGTCTAGCACAAGGCTAGTAAGCCTCCTCATTGGGGCTCTTGGGCTTGCTACCTTTCACAACAAATGCACCAACCGTCCAAGTGTGTATGGGCCTTGCAAAGGCTCTTTGAACCTAATGTAGGAGCCTTAAAAATTAGAACAGGGTTTTGGTGTATCTTATACTTTACATAATAAGGAACCCCATCATAGTATAGGTAGTTATTTCGGCCCCTATGGTAATCCTTCATTGAACTTCACCAGCCGAACAACTCCAAACTCTAAAACCTAAAACCTAAACCCTAAACCCTACACGCTACACCCTAAACCCTACACCCTAAACTCTAAACCCTAAACCCTACACCGTAAACCCTAAACCCCTGAACCCTACACCCCAAACCCCGAACCCTAAACCCTACACCCTAAACCCTATAAACCCTAGACCGCTTGCCAGCCTGACAGCTTTGGCCAGACCATCTGGCAGAAGTCCGTAAGGAACCTCGGCACGGCAGCGCTTTGCGGCTTCGGGGCTTCCAGTAACTGACATCCCGATTCGAGAACTGGGAAAGTTGGAAAGGCCCGAAGTTCGAAATCGCGAACATGTGTGGGTTTAGGGTTTCGGGTTTTAACCCTAAACCCTAAACCCCGCAGTTTCCCTCTGTGAGAACCTGGAAGGCAGCACAGAAACAGGGGAAACTCTTTGGTGGGCAACAGGAGCCTCCAAACAAAAGGAGAAGTGTAGACGTCTTATGCATGTAGCCAAGATCACATTGCTGGTTCGGGACTCGGAAAGTTTTTACTTTTACGTACATTATAAGACGCCTTGCGGCAGCTGCACAAAGTCAGAGGCTATCTGTTTGGGTTAGGGTGCCAGGGTGGAGGGTTAAGCCATGGGGCCTAGGACATAGCTTCTTCTAAACCTTACCCGGCTTAACATGGAACAGCCTCCACGATTAATCATTCCAGCCGGCATATTTCCCAATCGAGGGGCGTCGGAGGGGACGGCCCAACCCTGAACCATAGCTACTTGGGGACCGTCATCCAAGGTTGACAACCAAAGCCCCTGAAGCCAAAGCTACCAGCTACCTTCGAAAGCCACTCACCTTTTCTGATGCCCCGCAGTGCTGCCACCTGCACTTCTGCAAGTGCCATCGTGATTGCTATTATGCTGGCCACTCGTATTGCTGTGCTTTCTTCGTACGACTGAATGCATCATCATTGTACCTACTCCTTAGTTCTATTGTGAAGCTGCTGAGATCGTGGAAGATGGTGGGGCGATAGTGATGATGATGACGACAAAGAAGATGATGATGACGGCCACGATGACGAGGACGATGATGATGACGATAATGATGATGCTGGCGACGATGAAAAATATTAATATGATGTTGATGATGATGATTATGGTGATAATTATAATGATGATGAACATGATGATGAGGATGATGATGAGGAAGAAGAAGGTGATGATGGGGTGGTGATGACGATGACGATGATGATGGTGATGAGGATGATGAGGATGATGATGATGATGATGATTTTATGGTGATGGTTATAATGATGATGAGGATGATGATGAGGATGATGATGATGATGACAATGATGAGGAGGATGAGGATCAGGATGAGGATGAGGATGAGGATGAGTATGAGGAGGAGGATGAGGAGGAGGATTATGGTGGTGGTGGTGATGGTGATGGTGATGGTGATGGTGATGGTGATGGTGATGGTGATGGTGATGGTGATGGTGATGGTGATGGTGATGGTGATGGTGATGATGCTGGTGATGATGATGATGATGATGATCATGATGGTGATGATGATGATGATGATGACGATCATGATGATGGTGATGGTGAGGATCCTAGGGACGATGAAAGCGATGATCGATGATTCCCCTGACGGCTGTTATTGTGATAGGGATCTGCGTGTTGAGGCCCTCAAAGAAAGGGGGCTTATTCATCAGGGGCCGACTACGTTGTCCCAGGTTCTGGGCTCGAGCCGAAGTTGGGACCCCGAGCCGGCAGACGAGCGCTCGCCGCCTCTTGCAGAAAGAGCCTCGCGGCGGGGTTAGGGGCTTTTAGGGCTTAGGGTTAGAGTCGAGGGCCTCCACAAGGGCTTTGGGATTTAGTTTGGGGTTTTCGGAGTTTGGGGCTTCAGGGTGTGCGTATGCTGCAATCGCAATAAGGAACCTTACGGCCTCATCTGGCTACATCCCTGCGCCACCACCGCTGGGCTACACCTCCGCACACCCTTTAAGTATTCAGGCTGAGAGGTCAGGGCAGCAGCACGCTTCAAGCACCTGTGAGTGTATAGCACCCTGGCAACTGAGACGCCATCAAACCTACGAGGAGATGGGAAAAAAAGGATGCACACCCGACCTTTGGCATGAACTCCACACCTTACACCCCGGAGCCACTAACTCCTACATTTAAAGGCCGAGCCATGGGAAACTCCGACCTTGTGCTCTGCATGGATCTTTCTCGAGAGCCCGGGGGAAGGCCACTGTACCCGCTCGCTGTAGCGGCATGTAGTCCTGAACGATTCACATGGACACATGGAACTTGAAAAGGCTTCATCAACTTGAGAGTTAGACTGCATGTGCAAATTTCGAACCCTAAACCCTAAACCCGATATCCTAAAACCTAAACCCTATACCCTGGACCCTAGACCCTGTACCCGTACCCTAAACCCCAAAGAAGGTGTGAGAAGGTGTAGGGCTAAGGACTCAGGCTTGGGTTTAGGGTTTCGTTCGCAGCAGCAGCGGCAGCAGCACCAGTGGAACCACATCGGTAATAACGCACGCTTCAAATCACCTTACATAAGCCCTTTAAAGGAACCATAAGGAAGAGTGTTAGAGTAAACGGGTACTATTCTACAGTTCCATTGTTCGAACTCAAAATTGATCAAAGGGTCTTGGGGACGAGGCGGAGCTGAAGGTATTTGCACGTTAGGCTTCTAGGGATTCCGGGGACGGCATCCGGAGTCTACTATCCTTAAAGACTCTGCGTTCTAGAAGAGAGTAGCATTCAGCCGGACTCTAGGGGAGGGCCAGATTGTGAAATCCCGCTTTCACATGTCTCTGACAAACTGCGGCTTGTCGAACAGAGGCCCTCAACCATCCCTGTGGCTTCTCGAAAAGCAGTCCTCCGTGTCTTCGAGAGGATCGAAAAATTTCGGAGCTGCCTGGACGTCGGATTCTTCTACCCACATGAAAAGACTTCAGGGGTCCATTTGCCTTGAGAGTAATTACATGCTTTCAGGTGACGAGGGACCCCAACTCTGAAACAAGGAAGGAAATCCCCCGAAGCAGGACCACAAAGTGTTCCGAAGGCAGCCTCGATCTGATGCAAACTGTTGCAGACTTCACAAGCTGGATATGCGCCTCACAACCGACAGCCTCTGCAAGGCGAATGTTGCAGCGCTCGAACTTGAAACTGGACCCAGATCCCGCCTACAAGTGGCTAACTTCCTCTGGTGTCAAAATTGAAAACCCGGCTGTCGCAGCAGCGTCGGTAGGGCGCAGCAGCTGTGGCACCAGGCGTCGCATGCAAACGAGCACACGTGAAACTGCAAAATCAGCAACATCAAAATCGCATGTAGCAAACCACATATACTCGAAGTTACAGGAGGAAGTGAAGAGTGGATGTCCGGACCGCTGCCTGCAGCATCGCGACTACGACAGTGTCACAATCTTCGTAAACATGGCAAGACCAACATCGCAAAACCCAGAGCACTCAACAACGGCCATCAGCGATCGCAAAACTGCCCTCCAGGCCCCTTAACCCGAACCCCCTATGTAACGCAGTAGCAGCAGGGGGGAGAAGAAACCCTAAACCCTAAACTAAACGCTGCTGCTAAATCCTGAACCCTGCCCCGAAGTCTATATCCTGAATCTTAAACCCTAACCCAAAAACCCTAACCAGAAGTCTATATCCTGAACCTTAAACCCTAACTCAAAAACCGCCGTGTGTTACAGTCCAGCCTCCAGCTCTTCCTCCTCCTCGTCATCGGAGGACTTCGTCTGCCGATCTGTATCCTCTGACTTGTTCTTCGTAGGGAGTGGGTGTGTCTGTTTTTGAGGGGGGGGGGGGGGGGG